ATATAAGTATCACACATATAGGATGTGAATTATGTACATGCATTTCACCCAAGCTGCAAAGCTAACGCTGCACAGCAAAAACATAAAAAGATTTTTTTCCAGTCTAGTTTCTAGTGCAAATATGTTTGTGAACTGGAAATAAAAATGTACAAGTAACTTTTCAGCAAGATATAGGAGCTTGTTTTAAATCAATGATTCTTGAATATCATTAAAAAAAAGTTCTAGTTCCACTGGCAGATTATTTCAAGACATTTTCACCATGTTATTAGTGAAATAGTCTTCCAGAGGAACTAGTACTTTCTCAACAATATTAAGGAATTGTTGCCTTACAATTGGCTCACATCTTGTTGAAAAGCTACTTGTATTTTTATTTCAATATTGCACTAGAAACTAGTCTGAACAAATACTTATGTTTTTGCAGTGGAGCGTTAGCTTTGTAGCTTGGCTGAAACTACATGTAAATTATTTCACTTACAACAATAAATTTTTCCCACGTTTTAGTGAAATATTCCGCCATTGAAACAAGAACAAGGAATTATTGCCTTAAAACCAGCTCATATGCTGCTGAAAAGTTACTTGTAAGTTAGTTTTGTCTTTTTTCAAGCACACCAAGGTATTTATTAGAAACTGTACCAAAAAATATTGGGTTAGGTTTTGCGTTTTTGCAGCGTGGATGATCCGCACGCCCATTTGCTTCCTTTATTTGGTGCATGTTCGTAGACGTGACACACTTTCACACCAAGTGATGGAGTTTGGGGCTCTGATGGAAGAGGTCAGTCAGTCACAGAGCAGATAAACAACACCTCATTAGTCCCATTGAAGGGAGTTCTACAGGCAACATTGTGCGATAGCATGCCAACGCGGCCCTGGGCTGAGCTGCGGACATGGAAACAATCCTGATCGGACTGGAAGGTAACGATCACGTGTTATCCACTAGAAAGGACATAAATAATAAAGCATAGTGGTTAGGGGGGATAATGTGTCCCCATGTGGCCCCTGTAGCCTAATGAATGCAGACACGTACACTGTGACAACATGCATGTAACGGGCATCCTTAGAATAACACTGATGCATCGCTGCCCAGGGCTGTTTTTATCTGCTGCACGCAAACATGCAGAGTCCAGCCCATTCATAAGACTATAGAGAAGTCTACTGGGTTGCTTACAGTGCAAAAATGTCCATACTGCTTGGGGAAAAAATGAAAGAAACATAAAAGAAGTGTTAAACTTAAAGCAAAAACAGAACTCTGTTTATTCTGATAACCTTCGCTCGACTTCAGAGGTCATTTCAGTCCACTTGTTTCATTCATTCCAAGAGCAGATGTTCAGTCAAACAGCTGTCATGTGAAAAGTTGACAGATTAATTAGAGAAAATAGAAACTAGCAGTGCGCTGGCAAACTGGCATCATTCTGAGGCATTTCACAGTGAAACATGGTGGTGGCGGCATCATGCTCTGGGGGACGTTTTTCATTCGAGTCACAAAAGTTGATCATGTTTATGAGACAGATAATCTGTGAAAAGATCCATCTCCTTCACCCCCTCCCTGAGCTTCTGAAGAAATGCACTGCTCCTGGTCAAAAACAACCAATCAGAGCCAGGAGGAGGGCCTTAGCGCTGTCAATTAACTTTGTGTACATGTACAACGGTGAAAAACAACTCACCGCTGCAGGAAAATTGTTTAGCTTGTAGCTTTATACATTCTTGCACTCAACTCTTTCTTTTTTTTTGCATTCCACCTCTTCTTCCCCTGAACTCCTATATATTAGGCGGCCCTCCTTTTCTCCTGGCACCAACGTTAATGCACTCCCAATCAGCCTGTCCATTAGGCGGACGTGCACAACACGTTCATCAGGCCGTCCAAAAAGGCCTGCATGCAAATGAGCTCAAACTGCAGCGTGCTGCAAAACTCCTTGAAGATCCTGAGAGGCAGAACGTGTGGAAGGCATGCATCTGGGAGACGCGGCGGGCTGTCCAACTCGTGCTGATGAAAACCACGCAGACGAGCAGCACAAAGGATTAACCTAATCAGGATGTCTTTTTGATGTTTTGATGCAACGCTGAGACACCCGAATGTGAAAATCACCGCTATAAATTCCGCCCGCGAAGCGCGAGCCTTCAAGGAGCGTTTTCCTTCCCCTGTCAGCCGAAGCCTTTGTCATGAGCAGCGAAACTTTCTCCTCCCTGAAATCAAACAAAACTTTCGGCGGAATTGCTAAAAGCGAGACACACAACAGACAGATATGACACTTTGATTCTCTATCCTCCCTCCTGACCGCCAGGCATTTCACAGCACTTAGTGTTTTGTTGTTGCACCCGGCGAGAAGCGTTTATTTTCACCTCAGTTCTTTGCCATTGTTAAGTTTTTAAAACTGTCAGGAGGAAAGGGAGAAAAACGAAGAGAAGACATTAAGATGGCGTGAGGAGTTTTATAGGATTTAAGCTGGAAATTGACATGAAGTAGAAGTTGTTGGGAGACGACGCCGAAACTTTGAGGCTCAGTCAGGCTGGTTCACTATGGCAGCGTATCGGTGTCATTGAAGATAGGAGGAAACACAAAAAAAGACATTAAAAAAACCTCACATTTTGGGAATTAATCTCAGAAATGTTTTTGAAAAAACTCAAAATGTTTTAGATTGATCTCAGAAATTTTCCAAAAATAAGAAATATGACTCAAAGTATGAAAACTCAAACTCAAGTCAAAAACTGACATTCAGAAAATTTCCAAAAGTAAAAAATGTTCAACTTATCAAACTCAGAAATTTCCTTTTTTTTTTCTAGAATTTATTTAGTTATTTTTTATAGAAATTTTCTGAGATCAATTTTAAACATTTCAGATTTCTTCCAAGCAAATTCTTGACTTTCAAGTTAAAAATACTTTGTTAAAAATTTGAGAAAATTTAAATTTAAATTTACATTTTTTTATTTTTTTAGTTTTTTTTTTAGTTTTCAAACCCAGACATTTCTAAGATTTTTCTAGAAAATTTTCTGGGATTAATCTCAAAATTTCCTAGAATTTTAAAGCAAATTTTTAACTTTTCACACCCAGAAATATCCACATCTTTTACACAGTGGCCTTGACACGCCGTCGTAGGTTCGCAGGTCTCCCTCTTTGTATTCAGGAAGTGCCGGGTCTGCCGTTAAACGCAGAGAGCAGGGGGAGTGTCACAGCGGCCCGCAGCATGCCAACTCTTAAGTGACTGTGGCACTCAAAGATAATGAAGAACGATGATGAGGCCAAGGAGGGCATGTACCGGGCCCACATGCACAGGGAAAATCACCAGCAGCACATAGCTACTCAGAAAGATTTAAGCTTTGCCCACAGCACTGATTGCATGTCAAAGTGTCAGACCTCTGGCTCAAATTGCTACCTCTATTCAAATGTTCTGCAGTTCCTAAAAAAAAAAAGAAGAAACATTTCTGCGTGTTTGTGCTTTTGCCTGGTGTGTCACTTGTATATTGTTGCCAAACCTTGAAATGACAACTGAGCAACCATAAAAAGTAAAAAAAAAAAAAAAACCATGAAATGTGCAAAACTGAAATCATTCAAAACAAACAAGCCCCCACCCCCGCACGTTCGTCAGTTGTGACCTGGAAACACGCTTGTCGTCTTTTGTTCGGAGTTCTGTGCTTTTCCCAGTGATATGCTGACTAATCCTATTAAGGTAATCCACATGAAAACAACTTACGGCGCGATAGCGGTGGGGAGCGCCTTCGCCGTTAATTTATGCCATATTAAAATGTGCAGAGAACTGAAATATTAATGGAACTCCATCGGAAGTTTGTCATGCAACTGGAATGCTGAATTGATACCTGCAGGATGTGAGTTTTATTCGAGTGCAAGTCTGGGAATGCTTCTGCGTCGATAGTCGGTCTGTGATTAAAAGCAAATGTTTTTAATGTGCATCATTTAAATGCTCTAATCTCGCTTGTATGGAAACATGAGGGGGGCTTATATATAAAGACTTCAAGAATACAATGACAATGATCACAGAACTTCTGAAGTACGGTGCCTTGTGAGAGTATCTTCTTTTTTTTAATTAAATTTTTTCATATTGCAATTAAATGGGTAGGAAATGTTAGACAGATTAAAAAAACCTTAAACAATACAAATATGAGAAGTGTGGCATCCACTGACCACATAGTTGCACAAATTTGAATTACAAAAATAAATTAACTTGACAGAAACACGCCAATTTAAAAAACAACTCAGATTGGCAATGATGAGGTTTTTAAAAAACCTTCTCAAAATTGGAAAAACACACATTGATGTTTATGATTGCAAAGACAAGATCACAGTGTAGATGTGTCATTTAATTTGGCCAGATATTTCACAAGGGAATGACAATAGTGGAAACCAGGAGAGTCACTTTGGGTTTAATTCGGAATAAATCCCTGCTATTGGATTTCCTGCATATAAAGAATCCTCCGTGGTTGGATAATAGTAGCAAAAAGATTCAGAGAGAAGAAGTAAAATATATGCTTTTGCTGGAATCCTGCAGCTCCATGTTGAAACAGAAGCTGTTCGAGTCAGGAAGAGGCAACAGATTCAAAGTCGATTTTTAACATCTCCAAAGGTCTTTAATTCCCCAAGCGACGTTCGGGCCCCTCCCCATTAGCGCTCGCACGGGCTCTGAACAATGTCTGCTGGTTAACCAATGCTGAGCGATGTGGATAGAAGGCCTGCACACGTGGGATTATGAATAAAACATGTTGCCCTTATTAAAAATAATCTGGCTCTAAAGTGCCAAAGGCCCTTGAGGTGGATACCAACACCCCGCCCCCGTCGCTCCATCTCTCCAGCATCTCACAGGGTTCAAGGAAAAGGGTCCCTGATTAGCGCTGGCAACATCCAGAGAATGTATTCAGTCTGTATGATCCACTGCTGAACGTGTTGAGTGGAATTAAACAAACAGCGATCGGTGCTCAGGGCAACGCGAACGATGCGTGTCAGGGTGTCGGTGTTGTGTGGGAGCATAGCTTCGGGCTTCTGGTGTTCTTACCTGAACATCTCACCCAGGCCCCTCAGCACACCCTTCTTTGGTTTGTTCTTGTCCTTGTCTTTCTCCTTGTCCACGCTCTTGGTTTCCTTCGGCCCCCCCAGGGCACCGTCTTTCTGTTTGTCGTCAACCAGCCCGCCGCTTAGGCTGAGGTCGCCGCTCGTGGACATTGACTCGAGGCCTGACCAGTAGCTGTCCTCTGTGTCTTCATCCACTGGAAGGACAGAAAAGGTCGGATGGAGTGTTAAATATACAGTTATGGAACAGATTAGCTGTGCCGTCACAATTCAATGGGTCAGGATCATCACAAAAAGTAATGGTCCTCCTTTGATTTAACTCTAGGAAAGTATATTTCTGGAAACTTGAGTTCAATTTCACCAGCCACACCAAGGCGTCGTTACTGCCAGAATGAAGACATTGCTTAAAGAGAACAACATGTCTGACAACATGAAGCAAGCAGAAAGACATCATAAAGGACTACATCATGCCTTGACATGAAAAAAAATCAAGAACCTATTTAAGCCTAACCCTACCCTACTGCTCTAGAGCTTACAAACAAACAGGGAACAAAATCTACAAACCTCCCGTAAAGGTCAGAGTCTGTGACATAATCATAAGAAAGAGACTGGGTGAAAACAGCATCCATGGGAGACTCCCAACGTCAAAATGCCAGCTGACCAAAGAGACCACCGAAAAAGTGAGAAAGTTATCCCTAGTGTACCATCAAGCCCACATCTAACAGAAGGGACTTGGAGTGGCCTAGTTAAAGTCTGGACCTAAATCTAATGGAAAACCTTGTGACATGGTATGGAGCATTCTTGAAAATACTCCAGTTAAAATAATTCTCCAGAAGAACGGGCCAAAATCCCTCTACTCATTGTTATTCCAGACATTGTGGCAAATTGGAGTGACCAAGTCATTAGAGGATTACTTTTTCATATAGAGCCAAGCTGGTTTGGATGGATTTTTGTTTTATACATGAATTAAAAAAAAAAAAAAAGCAGTTCATACTAACTCCTGTTTTTGTCTCGTAATGTTTGTTGATCTGCAACATTTAAGGCACAAAGAGCAAAAGAAGAATCCTTGAGGAGGAAATATTTTATCACAGCACTTCCACATTTTGAGGAACTTTTACAGAAGCCAAGGCAGCTTAGAACATAAAGTGCAACTAAATGAACTTTAACTTTCAGCTGACTCCCTGCAGATCAATGAAGCTGTATTTGAAATCAGCAGACAGCGCCAGTTTTCTTTTATCAGTTGCAGTGCATAACTTCTTTCTTTTAGCAACATCAGAGGAGCCATGAAAAAAAAACAACAAAAAAAAAACTGTTTCCCAAAAGGTATAGCAGCTCTGAACAAAACACACTGAATTCATTCGCCTCATTAGAGCAGAATATATTTACATTGCACACCCACTGAGAGTAGTGTGCACTGGAACTGATTTTCACTTAGCTCAGACCCTCAAGTTATTTCAGTTGTGTGTAGTTCACATGGATCACAGAAAGAAAAGAAAAAAAAAACTCTTCTTCTGCTGCATTTTACACATAAAAAAAAAAAGATTTGCCTTCACGCAAGCATAAGCAGTAATGATAGTCATGCGAATCTGATTTTTAATTACGTCTGAACTAATTTTAAACCCGACATCAAACTCAAACCGAACTCCTTAGGTGCTGCAAGGTTGATTAAACCCAAAGTTTTCATCACATCTAATCAGAATCAATGTAGAAAATGTAATTAATCCGTCACTAATTATGCATTTAAATAATCTTGAAGAAGGCTTCTGGGGATCATAATTGCAAATACGACGTGCACCGAGCTTGGCAAGGCTCCTGTCTGTGCTCTGAAGTATGAAGTAGATGTCCCTTAGATTACAATGTATTACAGTCATGCATGTCATTGTTCAACTTCTGCTTCTGATATATATATAGAGAGAGAAAGAGCGAGAGAAAAGTGCTTATCTTGTGGAAAGAAGAGGGAGGCGAGACAAAGATATTTAGCAGCCTAAGGAAGGGGAGAGTATGCTGGAATCAGATTTGAAGGATGATCGGGTTTGGCTTTCTTCTTGTGATCTGTGCAGCTATCAGCCTTTTGTTTCAGCTGCCACCTCAAAGGAAATCACCGAAACGGAATGTGAACACAGAGCACCGAACGGCGAGAACACAAAGGAGATTAGAGTCTTAAATCTGCTCGATTATGCAGCTGTGCTCTGCACACGGCCTCTCGCCTCTGTTTGCACAGGTGCCTCCGCACCACATTACAATGTCACGGAAAACTCAGGTCGTTTCAACAATTTGATTCAAAAAGGGATGATTAGTTTTAATAGAAACAGGATGAGCTACTTCCTGTGTGTGTTTTTTTTTCCCCTGACGGGTTCAATAACAATTGCCTGCTACGATAATAAAAAAAATGTCTTGTAATACAAAACTGCAATGCTATGATCACGTTATGGCCTACTTGATTATGAGAAAGAGTGTTGATCTGATATTGGTTGAGCGTGTGGTGTTCAAGTATATTAAAGAAAATCACATATAGCAGCAGTGCCCAACTGTTCTGCCCAGAATGCATTTAACATTGTGTGAGTTGGCAAAGGAAGTTAGTCAGTGGCAAAGACACAAGTCATCCAGCAAACTGCTGATAAATTTCCGCTTTCCCACGATAGATACAAAAAAACTAGCTAGCTAGCTAACTAGCTACAAGCTACCGCTCACTAGCAGTAGGCTTTTTAATACCTCATAAGGACCGTGAGTCATTTCTCATACTAGCACTAGATACGGTAGTTTGTTTTGGTTGTGTTTACTGTTGGAGATGATCCTTCCTCCAGCTGGGTTCTTGATGTCTGAGGTTCAAGAAGAGTCAGTGAGTTGGATTCATGAATTCCATTTATTAAGACTAAAGTGCAGCACTGATCCATTGTCATGTTTTTCTTATGGGAAAACACATCAAAAATGACACATAACAGTTTCTGATTCCTTTAGTTGGCCTCTATGTAAACGAGGTCCTAAAGAGGGCGTTCCAGAGCGTGTGCGTATGTGTGTGCATGTGTGTAGATAGCAGCATGCAAGTTCAGGGGTGGCCAAGTCCAGTCCTCAAGAGCCACCATCCTGCAAGTTTTAGAAGTATCCTTACTCCAACAGACCGGGATCAGCTCTACAGAGGCCTGATAACGAGCCAGTCATTTGATTCAGGTGTGTTGAAGCAGGGATGCATCTGAAACTTGCAGGATGGTGGCTCTCGAGGACTGGACTTGGCCACCCCTGAAGTAGATGAAACAGATAGAGGAACACACAGAATCCTTTATTCCCAACATTACCCAGAATGCCTTGCGCTGTAGTCTGCTTCCTCTTTTTGGAGCGATCTCCGGTTGGAATTCAGTTTGAGGCCCAGATTTTGTCTTTTTGATCCGTGCCAGAGTTCAACTGCGCATTCGCACCTCCCCAAACGAACCGGGGAGTTGGATTTAAGCAGACTGAACAGGGCTGGTGTGATTACCTGAGATCAACCTGGGCACCTGCCCACATTTGTACGCGGTTTCTGGATAGGGATCTGCTTGATCCCTCTGTCTGCCGCCTGCTTATCATCCACTTAAGAACAATGGCGCTGAGTAGCAGCTGTGAGCTGTAGCTGATTAGCGGTAGTGCTAATGTTCCTACCACTGCTTAATGATGCTGAGCTGCAGATAACATTCTAAATATTTTAATCCAGAACTTCCCAGAGGGCAGCAGATGAATGCGCATCTCTGGGTTTGCCTGCTTCTGCAGGTTTTTGTTCATGTTCAAGCTGGTTTGAATTCAATATACAAACATGTTTGTCATTCACTATTAAACATGACATTAAATGAGAGAGGGGAAAAAAAGAGCTATATCTTTTAAAAAAGCAGAAAAAAGCCTTTACCGTCAGACATCGAAAGGTGAGGCCGGGTAGACTGATTTGATGGGTCTCAAAAAGAAGAAAAAAAGCTCGACATTCTCAAATGATAGCAGAAGCCTTGATGAAAGTGTCAGGAAACTCAAAGATAATTTGCGGCAGGCGACAATCGCGTGAAACATTTTGTCACTTCCCTGAAATCAACCATTAAACTTTTCTTCCTTAATAATCATAGACCTTTAAGACGGCCTGTCAGTGAAGGTTATGAAAGACAAAGAAAATTGCAAGTCATTTTTCTCCCCCCCACCCAACACATACAAGACATGAGAGATGTTTTCACTTTCTCTGTCTTACTCCTTCAAAACAGTCCAACACAAAAGCGGCACAAGAGGAAGTGCATTTTGTTTGTTGTTGTTTTTGTCCAGCAGAATATCTTGTGGGGACACATTTTCTTTACGTGATGTTGCCCCCCTCCACTCTCCCCCCCACACCTCACACCCATCCCTCCGTTCTTATTTTATGTAAATAAAAGTCTGGGAGCATGTGGAAGGCAGCGGCTTATCTGTCAACTCTGACTATTAACCTCAGTGACGAGCGCAGGCTGGCTGCTTTTATCTAAATTGAAAAACAGAGTTATTTGAATATCATGGGGAGAATGCAATATACTGCAGCCGGGGAAATCGGTTGCTTTCCCCATTTTTCTTTGCAGAGATAAGACTGTATTTAGTGGCTTGCCGACAGAGCTTATGAGAACAAAGCGTTTCAGGCAAATAATTCCTTCTTTTTCAAATGTCCCCCAGCTCTTTTAATGGAATCCTTTAATGGTGAAAGGAAATTTATATCGAGTGATTACTCTTGTGGTGTTGCAGTGTTATTACCTGTCGGAAACTGTAACACGGCTGTCTCTCTGTGTGCTGTCATCGCCTGACAACTACAGTCACGTGCAGAAATATTCACACCCCTTGAACTTTTTAGCGTTTTATCACACACTTCACTGTGTTCTAATGGGATTTTATGAGGCAGACCAACATAATGCAGATTTTTGGGGATTTGTTGATGTGATTTTCCAACAAAAAGCCTGAAAAGTGTTGACATACATGTTTAACTTCTTCAGTCTAACGCCCCAAAATAAAATAAAAAATTGTTCAACAAACTCCCTTTAAAAGAGGCTTTGCTCAATCCACCATGTGTCACTGTGGAGGTTATGTGTTAAAGGTTATGCACAATAATTGGTTTTCACCATAAATGGCGTTTGTGGTGGCCTATTTCAGAAAACGCAAGAAAACAAGTGGAACAAACAATTTATAAATTATTTATAAAACAAATGATAAAATTTGGTATTGTTTCAAGTAGTTATGTGCTACCAACCACCAATTCAGGCAAGTGTTATGGTTAATGTGGAGCAGGTCAATCAATCAATCAATCAATCAATCAATCAATCAATGCTTTGCTTTGTACACAGGGTCTGGACTACTGACATTGTTTCAAGGAAGAACAGTTTAAATTTTATCCAGTCACTAACATGACGTATGTAATGCGCCAGTTTAACGCTATGAATCTTACTGGAAGTTGCCTGCGTTGTAAACACCCATCCTCCACTGCATAGAGAGATGTGCTGATCCAAGCGAGCTGGTTGTTAATGCTAATTCAATATCTGGCAGCGTGACCAGCACAGACTTAACGTTTTTCTTTACTTCCTCTGCTACCATTGCTAAAACTACAGGCAGACTACAACTAAAACAGTGCAGAAAATCGACACAATCGTTAAGAAAATCCAAGTCAATGGGAGAAGGGAGATGAGAATCGATTAAATTTGCATAGGAAGGTGATGGTCAGGCTGGCTGTGTGGTGACTATTTGATTATTTTCATTTTGGAGGAACTTGCAGATATAGAGACTTTTGTACCACAAAAAAACATGTTTAGGAAGATAAAAGGTTATTTCAGGAAACGTATCAGAACATTACCAAGTTCAGCACACTGCAAAAACACAGTCTTACTAGATAGTTATGGTTTAGCTTCAAGTACAAATATCTTACTACTTGAAACAAAACATTTTTCCCATGTTATTAGTGAAATTGTCAGCCAATGGAACAAGTACTTTTTCATTAATATTAAGAAATTAGTTATTTAAAACAAGATTCTATATCTTGCTGAAAAGTTACTTGTAAGTTAGTTTTGTCTTATTTCAAGTGTGATAAGATATTTGCAGTAGAAACTAGAACAAAAATAGAATTGCTAACCGTAAATATATAAATACTCACATGTCTCCACGCTGTTTTCTTCCCTTGGTATGAGACCAGTCTTCACATATGACTTGTCAATTGCCGCCCGGAAGCTCTCGTTGCAGCCTCGCCCCCTGATGATGTGTGAATGAATCCTCTGGACGTTGAGCTCGTCGCCCGCCATGACTTTGGCGGCATCTTTCTGGAGACTCTCCATTGAGCTGGACTTTTTTAGACCCAGGGAAGAGCCGATTTGTCGCTCTTCAAAACCTGCAAAAAAGAGTGAGCAGTGTGGCAAAGGCCATGAGATTTTTGGCTTTTAATATCACGCAAGCAGGAGTTAATATGTGTAAATTATGGAACTGGGTCATTTAAATAAATCCTTCATATTTTCAACAAAGAGTCTACGTCATTGAAAAAATATAAGGTGAGAGTATATCTATCAAAATGCCTTAATATTGAGGGCTACGAGTGTCATAACTCAACAAATAAATTAATAAATCCTTATAATAATATATTAAATCATAGTCAATAAATTAGTATATGGATTCCGATGAGACTTGCTTTATAGATTAAAAGCATCTTTAAAAATAACTTAATTCAACTCTTTTTAGAAAATGTAATATTCTAATCTTAAGTGTCACGTCTTCATCGAAAACTCATCATAGCAGAAATGAAGGAGTGAAAAGAATCAGTCTGTGTGATTGCAATGTGTTTCACTTGAGAACTGAGTTACTAAAATAAATTAACTTTCCAATCTATCTTTTTTTATTTGCTCTGTGCATATGTGAGAATCCAACACAATCACCAATGAAATAAATAAATAAGACTTGAATTGAAGAACTGTTCAAACAATCTACAGTTCAGGATAAAATGATTTTGTACGTTGTTACAGACCATGTGATTGGTCTGGAGTTAAAGTACCAATCAGATTTTAGGCACATAGATTGCTGTTTTTTTTTTTTTTTTTTATGATCAATTGTATCACTACTGAAATGACTAAATTGTGTATGATTCTATGCATGATTTAAACATATAATGACTTCAAGTTACATCTAGTATTTGCATTTCTTGGCTTGCCTTAATGTGTATTACACGTGTATTTACTTTTACTGGTTCAATTAAACTATGTCGTCTTTGGAGGATTTAGGAAGTTTGGGGGGAAGGGTATAAAAATCATATTAATATTTCTTCCCAAAGACTATTTACTGTTAAAAAAATTACACTTTACTTTGTATCTTTGTTGCTGATTCAACCCCACCCCAAACTTTAAGGGAAAGTATTTACTGTACCGCAGCAGTACAGTCAACTTCCTTTGATTCCATATACTGTAATAATTTTACAAATGTTTAAATAGACCCAACATCTGCATTTTATTTTACTTAGTTTCTTAGAGATACATAATAGACTACATGGGAATCTCACGGATGTAAGAGTTTTTACTTCTGAAAATGTCAGACATGGCTGTCAGCTACGACGACAACAAACCAGTGGAGGACGTAGATCTCTAGCCTCATCTTGACTATCTAGCTTTTCGCGTCAAACTACCACAAAATGTGCAATTTCACAGAATATTAGAATAATTTACATAAACCGTAGCAATGTCTGAGCAAGGCTTTAGGGATGCTATGGGCACTCGTTTTTGTTTGAAAGGGATCACTTTTTTACCATGTATTTATGTGACTACTAAAGTTTGCATGGCAACGCAAATAAACGGTTAACATGAACTGTAAATTGTTAACACGATACGACAGAAAGCATTCTGCCTCTTGTACCGCCGAGCCGTGTTCCAGAGAGCTGTAATTATTTTTTTTTTTCACCAATACTTTCGAGAGGTGTGTTTAGGTTATGTAAGCGGAGCTACACTTGGGTATTGGTATTTCATTTTGTCAGGGAGCATCCATCAGCTACCCCGTGTTCTCTCCTTATCCAGCGACTGGTAAACAAGTAGATCTGTTTTCGATTTTCAGTCCCTTCTTCTCCTATTTGACTCAGGCTGCAGCAGGTTACTGTCCAAATAGCATGCACAAGTAAAACTTTAAAAAAAAAAAAAAAACTTTCAATAATACTGTACATCATTAACACAACCTTTCCCCCCTTTTTGGTCAATGCAAGACTTATTGATTCAGAGACCGTGGCATATGGTGAGAAAATGTATTCATAAAGAAAGTGTTAAAAGTGTTAAAATTCCCTTTAGATTATGAAGGTTTTTGGGTTTTCGGCAGCAAATAGCACTACGTGATTTAGTTTCTGTCACACACATGCAAACAATTTTAGGGACCCCAAAGGAGCAGTAACATTTAACTGATATGAACAGGATCCATGTCACGTTTAAAGCAGCCTAAATGAGGCGTGTTCGACCACTGCCGGTGATCACATGGACCTCTTGGCAAACAAAACAAACACCCTAAATGAAAGAAAACTATTTGTTGCTCAGGAAAGCCGCCCTCTAAACATAAAAAACCGCAATTCCAGCTGAAAGAATTTGCGGGGTATGTCACTGCCAGGTTTGCACAGTCAAAGACTTTGGCTCATTCTTCTTCACTGGATGGTTTTAATATGACCATATGGTGTTGATATATGCTGCTCTAAACATTATGTTTGACTCCTGCTTTCAGTGGTGCTTGTGGAAATTAAAGGTTAGCTGATTTGGATTGAGCAGATTTCACAACAACTTCGTTAAATTTGCTGTATCCAATTTATAGAAATAATATGCTTTTTGCATATTTGTTAAAACTTTATGTATGTATGTATGTATGTATGTATGTATGTATGTATGTATGTATGTATGTATGTATGTATGTATGTATGTATGTATGTATGTATGTATGTATATTATGAGACAATGTGTGAAGAGAAAAGATCAATCTCCTCCACCTTCTCCCTGACCTAGCATTGCAGTCTGAAGAAATGCACCGCTCCCAAACAAAAACAACCAATCAGAGCCAGGAGGAGGGTCTTAGCGCTGTCAGTCAATCTCATGTAGTCACTGGTAAATGTGCCAATGACAGAAAAACAACTTTCCATTACAGGAAAACTGTTCATCTGCAGTCATGGGTGGCCATGCTAACTGGCCTAGCATTGAAAACATGCTATGCTAGCTGCAGCATAATAGAGAGCAAGTGGGGTGTCACATCCCTAACACCCGCCTCCTGGAGTCGTTTGGTTGTTTCTAAGGAGGAGGCACAGAAATGTGGTTTTCTTCAGAGATTATCTGTTTTATACCAAACTGTGACAACATAGCGACAGTTTCTACAAATATGTAATCAAATATTTTTTTTTTATTAAAGTTACATACTGCAGCTTTAAAGACTAAATTAATAAGTTAAGCTAGTGATATCAAGGCATTGGTTTGTAGGGATGCTAAAGTATGACGAAGTAAAGCTACCCATAAAAGTATTTTTTTCTTACCCCAAAAAAGAACTTGAGTAAAAGTAACTGAGTAATGTAGCCTAGTTAAAACCCATTTCATAACTTCATCCTACTTAAAACTCAACTTTCTCCCTTGATCTGTCTGTTGAGTTCCCCTCAGGATGCTGTTTAATCTTCCCTAACAAACCCTGGATAAACTGAGTCTAAACTAAACAAAAGATGGTTATATTTACTAATTAGATGACTACCGAAAGGAGTTGGTTGCACTGAATTTGAGGTATTTGAAAAAAAACAAAAAACTTCCCCTTTCACAATTACCTCTGAACTTGTGTTGGTTATCGGTCAAAAAATACACAGACATTTTTGGGTTGTAGGTTTGATTGATAAAAAAATGTGGAGAACTTCAATCTCACGTATTTTGTGAAGCTATAATCATCTTGTTATATTTTATACTTACATTCTAAACTATCTTGGCAAATCCTTGCACACAAGGCAGAGTCCTTCACTGCTTTGTTAGCAACTAACACACAGGTCCTCACTGAGTGCTTCACTGTCCTGAGTGCCAGGCAGGTATGGATTTAAGTGGCAAACAAATCTAACAGGCTCAAAGGTCAGCAGTCAGTCACAGGAGTAAACATCGTAATACTGTACATCATTAACACAACCTTTCCCCCTTTTTGGTCAATGCTAATTAGACCATGCAATCGATGCCAGAAGTGACACTTCATATAGCAAAGCACAACACTGTACTACTGCATCTGTTTAGGTCAGGAACTGTCCTACATGCACCTTTATTGACAAAATGCTCAGTAGATCAGGATTACTGATGCTTCATCCTAAAAGTCAGGGTTTTCTTTTTTTTTTTTTTTCTTTTGGAAGGACGTAGTTTTTATTTGATTGCTGTTATGGCAAATATGAATGCCAACAGAGAATAAACAGATTTACAGCACTAACAGAGAAAAATTAATTCTCTCTAACTCGCAGACTGTGTAATGTCATTGTATGAAGGACAAGAGAGAAAAACTTTCAATTTAATAAAAAAAAGAAAAGAAAAAAAGCAAAACCACAGCCATACAAACGTCACAGCTTAATGGTTCAAACACAAATTACCTTGAAATGTTAAAACCATATATTTTTTTAAAAAGGATGGCAATTGTGAATTCCACAGAGTTCACTCAGTACCTGTTCAAAGAAACCCAAATGACATCTGCTGTACTTGTACAGGGAATTATCCTTCTGCTTGGTATTCTGCCCTACAATCCTACTCATCATTGTTTCTAGTCAACACTCTGGATGACTGAGGGGAGCAAAGACCCAAAGAGAATGGGTGAGCGAAGCAAAAGGAGAGAGAGCGAGAGAGAGAGAGAGAGAGAGAGAGAGAGAGAGAGTGAGTTTGCACACAGACCCAAATGCCTCCTGCCTTTGTTTCGGGGGCCCCGGCTCTCCTGGGAGACTTTGACGGACAGCTCTCTGTATACTGGTCTATTATGTGATTCCTATCACACAACGGGAGCCCCAGTGCTCCGCTGCTCATCGCCTTCGTATTCAGAGGGAAGAAAATACAAATTCTCCCATTTGCATACAGACACGGGTTTTGCCACTCCCAACACGTCTGGGGGAGAAATTAAAATGATCAGAATAAGAAAAGAAGACAATCAAATTAAACTGAGAGGAAGTACACCTTGAAACTCATCACGGCTCCAAACAAAACTGGCCAACGCGGTGAGCTCTTTACCGTGATTAAGGCCAAGGACAGCTAATCGGAGACAACCTATTGCTATTAAGGGCTATCAAGGAGATGTGGCAAACTCTATGAATAAATAAGAAGCAGTTATTACAGTGACAGAAGCCCGTGGTATGATTAGAGTGGCTGAAACTATGCTTACCAACCATTATTC